GTTTTACATGATTGACCAAAATGCACTGTAATTATATCAACTTGAAACAGATTCCTTAGAAAGAACTGATAACTCTGACCACAATAAGTCATGTGCAGTGGAACTAAATACTGCATGTAGCTGAAACTGGTTTGGCTCAGTAGATAGAGCATTGGCCTGCAGACTGAAAGGTCCCAAGTTCGATTCTGGTCAAGGGCATGTACGTTGGTTGCGGGCACATCCCCAGTAGGGAGTGTGCAGGAGGCAGCTGGTCCATGTTTCTCTCTCATCGATGTTTCTAGCTCTCTATCTCTCTCCCTTCCTTCTGTAAAAAATCAGTAAAACATATTTTAAAAAAATACTGCATGTACTTTCTCTGAAGAGTGTAGACACCCAGTATGTGAAAGGTGCAATAGAAGAGACAGCTGTTCTTGCCTTAGCCTGTTTAATGTGACCTCCAGGTGCGTTAGCAGTAAAGAGTGGTGCGTAGGCCTTACCGAGGAATTAGCATTTACCATGCCTGCCACCCTCTTGCATTGCTTGACAGGCTGCTGTGGACTCTCTCATGTGATGTTGCTTTGATGTTGCCACTCCTGTTGGTAATTAGCATAGCATCACTCATCAGACAATCAACTTCTAAATGGGGTACTCTTCAAGGATTCCACTGACTTTCTTTGCTGTCTGCTCCAATGTGGGTGGGGAAAGTTTAATCACAGATATTTAGCCCAAAGATAAACCTCCTGTTTTCCCTCTTTAGTCCACTGTTTCTATGTCATATTGTTTTCTGTCATCCACAGTCCACCTATAAATTATCTCCAATAAGAGTGATACGGGTGTTAATTCAGTACCAATAAAACTCATTGGCTGACATCTAATATTCTGAAATACTGTTCCTAAACATTATTCCTTGCATATAGTAATCATCTATTTGCCCTAACTCCTTCGCCTTAACTGTAAGTTTAGAGACAAGGAATCATGGAACAGACTGATGAAACTCAGAGTGGAGTGGGGGAGGGGGGTAGAAAGAGATTAACCAAAGAACTTATATACTAGTATATATAATACTAGAGGCCTGGTGCACGAAATTCGTGCACAGGTAGGGTCCCTAGACCTGGCCAACAATCAGGGCTGATCTGTGGTGCAACCAGTAGGGCAATTGGGGGGTCCCCACTGACACCTGCCTTGTCTGGCCTGGCTCCGCCCACTTGCCGGCCCCCCCTTCTGCTGTCACTGCCAATGGCCTCCCTCTGTGGGGAGACCTACAGGGTAATTAGAGGGGTCCCTGCTGGCACCCACCTTGGCTGGCCTGGAGCCTGCTGGCCAGAGGCAGCTCCTGCATTGAGCATCTGCCCCTTGGTGGTCAGTGGGTGTCGTAGCAACCAGTCTTTCCACCAGTCGTTCTGCTGTTCAGTCAATTTGCATATTAGGCTTTTATTATATAGGATAACCCATGGACACAGACAATAGTGCAGTGAAAGCCTGGGGGTGGGGCATGGGAGCAGAGTGGAGGGAGTCAGCAGAGAGAGGGGGGAAGGGAATGGGCATCTGTAGTATTTTCAACAATAATGATAAATTTTAAAAAATAATAATAAAGGGCAGGATTATGTCTTATTTCTTTGTAATGCTTCAAATAATTGAGTGCCTAATACATAATAAATGTTCAAGAACTCTTATCAACTTAATAAATAGTGGATTAGAAATACCATCTGTCGGATTCTGAAAAAAGAAAGAAATTGCAACAGGTGAGTGAAGTGCCTAGACTTCCAGGTTAGATAACTAGTTAATTATGAAATAACTGTAGTACTCTGTGTTTGTCTTTGCTTAAGACAACAGAAGGCCTGCCTTACCCAATTATGTGACATCATAGACCAAGTTGATGCCTCTTCCCCAGCAGGACACTTTCCAGGCAATGCCTCTGCCCTCTGCTGACCCTCACAGTCCCTTCTGGGGCCGGAGGCACACCTCTGTGAAGTGGCCCTGCAGAGTTAGCTGAAGTGCTCAGCTAAGAAGCAGGAAAAAGTCAAATGACTTGTATTAGACTTTGACTTTTATACATACCCTCCTCTCCCCCTCTCAGGTCTCCACCCACCCTGAGCAACTGAATGCCACCAGCAGAGTGCTGTAGCACCTGCCCTGAAGGAAGCTAGTGGATGCCAGTTCCTGTGCTGGGCCCTTTTCCCTCATTTCTTTTGAAAGTTATTTTCCTCACTGGCCTATGTTCCTCCCCTCCCCACACCTAAAATGCTTTCTCCTAGCTTGCTCTTTCACCTCTCTGAATCCTACAGGGCCAGCTCAAATCCTTTCTCCTTCTTGAAATCCTTTCTGGTCCTTCTCAGGAAGTGGTAATTGCTCCCTCTGATGAACACCTGGGCGCATGGTACTGATGCTACTTGACATTTTGGATATACTGCTAATTATTTTTTCTCCTTTGTTTGTTGTTTGTTTATTGTGCTTCTTAAAAATTAATGTCTTGAGTTTTTATAAAATCTGTAGCATTTTATATCATATGAAAAATTTTTAAAAATACTTGGTCATTTGAAAGAGAAGCATCTAGAAAAGAATTTGACATAGGTAAACAAATAATAAAATTATTATAAAGGAGAAAAATCTATGATCATGTGACACTTTTATAATATACAAAATATTTTCAAGTTATTTGATCTTAGTAGGAGGGGATCAGAAAGCAGCCAGTCAGTTTTTCTCATCATTGATGTTTTTATCTCTACTTCTTCCTCCCTCTCTGAAATCAATAAAATTTTTTAAAGAAACAAAAGAACAATTAGAGAGGAGTCTTGGACTTCACAACTAGACATAAGAAAATGTTTCACACTCAGCAATGAATATAGGTTACAAATATGCACATCAGAAATGGGGATTCTGTTCTATCATCTACACGCAATAGTTCAGAAATACCAAACATGGTCTGTCTATTTGATCACCAGATCATGTTCTTGATTCTAGACAGAATTGCTTACCGAGTCTTCTAGGCCAGTGGTTATACAAACACCAGATGCACATCTGGATGCAGGCTAATTTAAATGACTTAGCTGTCCTGATCCACTATCTTCTGATAAGCTTCATGCAATTTACATTGTATAGATATCATTCTTAGCTAGAAACAAACCTTTTAAAATTATCATGCTTGCAGACTTATAAGTTTGACAAGCAAAACCATTATGAGCATGATTATCTAAGACATTTTAAACTTTGACAATGGTAGGTCTAGTATTGTGGAATATTACTTGCCAGGTTGAGGAGGCTCAAAAGGGGTCATGATGATTATATTATTTTTTAAATGGAACTATTATTTTATTTTTATTTATTTTTATTTTTTAATTATTTATTTTTTAAAATATATTTTATTGATTTTTCACAGAGAGGAAGAGAGAGGGATAGAGAGTTAGAAACATCAATGAAAGAAAGTCATCGACCAGCTGCCCCTTGCACACCCCCCACTGGGGATGTGCCCGCAACCAAGGTACATGCCCTTGACCGGAATCGAACCCGGGACTTTTCAGTCCGCAAGCCAACGCTCTATCCATTGAGCTAAACCGGTGCTGGCTGGAACCATTATTTTAAAGGAAAAAGGATTACCAAACAAGTTCATCCCTTTTATTACATTTCTGTTGCCACCATTCATATTCTGACATTCTTGTCTGCACCAAAACTACTGTGTTGATTTCATGTTCTGCCCTCCATGCTCTCCTTCTAATCCACCCAGTGAGGAAATAACTATTTTTTATGGGCTTATATGGGCCAAACACTCTGCTGAAGACTTAATTCCCTCATTTCAGAAAGGCTAGTCTCCTAAACAATCACATTCAACAACTCTGTACTTTACAAAATCCTTTCCAATCTTATCATATACTTGTTTTGTTCATATGCTCAACCTCTTCAATCAGAGTAATTATTCACTCTTTTCTGTGATATATGTATCAGTTTTCAACATAATTCCCTGGGGTCTAGAAATACAAAATAAATCACTCCTAGAGGAGTAGAAGTTGTGTTCCTATCATAAACGCAACAATCTGAGAAAAACATCTCAAGTTGGAGAATATGAGAGGTGCTTTTGCAAAATGTTTTAAATGCTTGCTAAAATTATGGAGGAAATAACAGAAGGGATAAGGGCCTTAATTCAGAATTAGGACAAGGAAGTTAAACACAAGGAGTAGGCAGACTAAAGAAACCTGAAAACAGAACAATGGGGACGTTGGGAAACGAAAACACTTGTCATAAATCTCTTCTTTAGAAACAAACCCCAGGGTAAAATGCAAAATTACCCTCATACTGAAAACTTCCATATTTTGAAGGTTTGAGTTCCAGGATGCATGATCATACCCAGAGAAGGAGAAAAAAGAATTTAGCATTCCAAAATGGGACACTCTTTTGAGTACCAATTGTATGCAGAGCATTGTACTTCTGTAAAGATCCAGGTAGCCTGAACTGCCCACAATGACCAAGTGCTCCATCATGAAGGAGTGAGCATGAACTGTATCACACTGCAGTGCCAACTCTCTAAGCGCAGGCCTCTGCCAGAATGAATTCCAAATTCAGTCGGGATCCAAGTTAGGCCACATCAGCTGCTCTGTATTGTTAACCTTTGTCTTAAATTACTATCAAGGGGCACTAATTAAGATAAGAAATAGAGCTACTTCTTTGTTTCATGTGCATCTTCAGATTTCTGAATTATACATTAAAGCAATTGATGACATCTGTGTATGTTTTTCACAAAAGAAAAAAGTATACATGCCTCAGGGTGCATCTGTCTGGCTAAGCAACAGATGGGAAAAACTCTTTCTATAGTTTCTATTAAAGTACAGAGGAATATAATAATTTAAAGGTTACAAAAATAAGGTAAAGGGTACATAAAAATAAATCAATAAAATCTATAGCAAAAAAAAAAAGGAATATTTTTGGATTAATCTGAACAGGCTGAGTTTCCTAAGACTGAAAAATGAGAAAAACCATTTGGCAAAATCTTTAACTTGGATCTTTTTTTGTGTGTTTAATTTTGTTTTTAGGTTCCAGATTCAGAGATGTTCAACTGATCCAAACAGTTACAAAAGCTTAGGAGACAGCTTTCGAACAATTTTCCGAACAGAAGGGTATGTATGGTTCTTCATGTATAAACTCTATGTAGTAATATATTCAATTGCATATAAATATATTACTATGCAATTAAATATATTACTACATGACACATTTACTCTTTTTGAATGGGATATTTTCCTAGTCTTATTAGGGGAAAATGTGTAAAGGAGTGTCTTATTTATTTTTTACAGAGAAGAAGGAAGAGAGATAGACAGTAATATCGATGAGAGAGACACATCAATTAGCTGACTCCTGCACACCCCCTACTGGGGATGTGTCCGCAACCAAGGTATATGACCTTGATCAGAATCAAACCTGGGACCCTTCAGTCTGCAGGCCAATGCTCTATCCACTGAGCCAAATCGATTTTGGCAACTTTCCTACTTTTTGATGATGTTCTTGATAATATGATTGAAAATTAAATATGTGTACAATAGAAATTACCATAAAAAGGATATGTATGCAATAGAAAAACCATAAAAACATCAGTTTGATGTTTGATCACTTGAGGACAATTTCTAATTTGTGCCATGAGGCTTTCTTGAGTTCTCAATAACTTGGCCTGTGTAAACATAACAGTTCCTTATTTTGTTTCTTAAATATATTGCTCAAACATGGTCCTTCTTTGCATTGTGGTTTACAAATATTCGATTAAACTGACCTACATCAGAAATAGATGAGTCAAATTCATTAGCCCTTTAGCTGAACAAATAATGCAATATTTTGGTTTTATAAGCTAAAATTGTCTTTGATGTATAAATTCAGTTAAAGACTTTATCCAGCATAATCTTCCAAAGGTTATGAGATTGCATTTCTTGAAGTCATTTTTATAAGAGAATTGGTTGAAATTAATTATAGAAAAATGGTAACAGTAACACTAATAACTGTAGTATAGTTAGCCTCACTATGTACTATAAATTCTCCTTTTAACTCTGAGAGGTAAGTCCTATCAGAATCCATTCCAGGTGGACAAATGAAGAAACCAAGACTCAAAGAAGTTAATAATTTTCACATATCTGGTAAGCAGTGGAGCTGGGACTCAGATCTACGTCTACTTGAGCCCAACACTCATGCTCTAGCTGCTGTAGTTCACTGTCTCTCTTGGCAGATGGTACTGTGGCTACTGTTCTGCTATTTGTTTATTTCAGTTAAGTATATATCATGAACATCTTTCCATGCCAGTATGTTCTTTTGAACAGCAACATAATAATTTATTTATCTATCGGCTGCAATTTATTCAATTAATCCTTTCTGTGGACCATTAGGTTGTTTTCAGATTTTCACTATTATGAACAACAGTGCAGTAAATATTCTTGTGTACCTATGTATATATTTCTATATGATAAAGATATGGATCTGACCAAATTATCTTGCAAAAAGGGACATCATGATTTCATACTCTTAGTGTTTGAATTCTCATTTTCCATACCCTGTCAGACCCTGGGCATTATAATCATTATTTATGATGGCTGTCCCTCACATGCAATCTATTGCTTGTCATCTAATAGGCGAGAAGTAAAACTATGGTATTCCTTTGATGTAATGGGAATTGAGCATACTTTTGTATCATAAGGTATCATTTCTTTCATGAATTGCTTATCTGTGTCCTTTGCCCATTTCTGTTAAGTGATGTTTTATTGATTTGTAGGAACTCAGTATATTATTATAGGTGCTAATCTTTTGACCATTACATAAAATGCAAATATTTTTCCTAACTTGTCATTTTTTTCTTACAACTATAGTGTCTTATGCCTTTCAAAAGTTTGTATTTTTTGAAGATTGTGATTATATCTGTCTGCTTTGCTTTGTAAATTTTGCTTTGTGATCTTGATGTCAAATTTAAAAAGGTCATCCCCTAATCCCAAGATTATAAACATTTTCTTCTGGTACTTTACATTTAAATCTTTCATCCATATATTTTTTTTTTCATGTTCAGTGTGGTAGATAGGAATTAAATTTTATTTTCAAGTGGTTAGTCAATTGTCCAAACACCACTTGTTGAAAAATCCATCCTTTAACTCACTATTAAACTTTCACATATGCCATCTAATTTTCCTATTCTGTTGCTCTTCTTCCTGTTCTGTCTTATTAATGTATCTATCTCTACCCAGTATCATGCTGTTTTCACTTTTTTATCTAGAGTATCTGGGCAGATGTGAAAATATGCCCTCTTCATCATGCTGAGCGGAGCCCTTCTAACGTGGCATCCCTTCATCTCACTCACACATCTGCTCCGGTAACAGCAGACGTGTCAGCCCCTGCTCTCTCACACTTGGGGCTTTGCATGCTGTTCCCTGCTCCTGAAGGGCCAGCCCCCTAATCCACACAAGAAACTGCCGCTCTTTATTCCAGGCCGGCCTCTGTTTCACTCTCTCTGACAGTCTTTCCTCTACCACATGCTTTCTCTATGAGTCTTCATTTACATATGCTATATAAAATATAGCATACATTGCTCTGATTTATTGTGTTCATTTTCTGTTTTCCCTCTCTCCCCTCAAGAATGTATTTCCCTAAGGGCCGTGTCTCAGTTAGCTCTGTATCCCTGAGGCCTGTATTTGGCACTGAGTAGAGATAGCAATTGCGCAATGGACAAGAGAATGAATCACACCAGCATCATAATAATTCAAAATGAAACAGAGATGATAATTCTTGCTATAGACCACCCCTCTTAAGTTATGATAATAATCTTGACACCTGATTAAATATTTTGAGGTCACCACATAAGATTGGCAAGTTCTTGCTGTTACACTGGTGATGTGATACCTAAGGGTCATACATTGATAGTGTACCTGTTTTATAGCAATTTGCATCAAAATTATGCTCATTTTGAAATACCACATGACCTCACTCATTGGTGGACAATAAAGATCATTATAAACTGATGAACCAAGAGACAGATATAGAGAAAGTAAAGCAACAGGCAGACTGTCAAATTACAGTGGGGAGGGGAGGAAGATCTGGGCGAGATAATAGATCAACCGAAGGACTTGTATACATGCATATAAGTACAACCAATGGACATAAAACTCTGGGGAGGAAGGTGATGTGTGGGAGGGAGGGAGAGGGGTAAAAACGAAAAAAATCAATAAAATATGTAAAAATAAATAAATAAATAAATAAAATTGTAACTTCTAATTGATTATTGCTAAAAAAAAATTATGCTCATTTTATCCAAGATATATTAAATAAGTCATAGTGTATTATGTAATCAATAAACGTGTCTCTTTCCAGTAAAACAGTAGTGTCAGCATTGCCAAGTTCTGTAAACTGTAACAGATATCTTTGAATTAGATGTGGGAGTTCCTTAGCCAGGCTCTTCATTTCATGTGTGTTTTAGGAAGAATTTGATGTTTCTGCTTTGATATCAAATAATATAACAAACATACAGTATGTGTGGTCCTTGCACAATAAAATTGGCCTTTTCCTAGACTGTATGTATAATTGCTTCTACAGCAAATTGGCATTCTGTCTGTACTGCCGTTAGATATGGACATGATGTTAGCCAAAAGCCAGAACACTCGTCTCTTAGAGATGGAAATATTTGTAAGAGAAAAAGCTGCCTGTTATGTTTGATACAGAGTAAGAGCATTTCATTGCCTAAGGTTAAAGAGGAAAAAAAAGCCTTTAAACACATACCAAGTTGAATTTTTTTTTTCTCGCAAAAGCAGTTCCTTTTTATTTTCTTACTTGGCTTTTAGAGTACACTGAGCTTTCAAAGATGTTCTCGTCGCTCAGGTACATGGACAACAGTTTGGTCTGTGGTCCTCAAGGATGAATCACCAGTCCATTTGATTATTATCATATTTAGGAGAACTCCTGTCTCCTGAGTATTTCTATCTCCCTCAAATTCAAGGTTTTGAAAGCTAGTCCTTTTATATCGTTAGAAAACATTAAACTCTGTTAAGACACTTAGAATCTGAACATATATCCCATCTCTCTTCTGTAAGAAAGTGAAGTAGTGGTTCTTAGGGATGCAATTCCGCACCTCTCTCCCCAGATTTCACATTTCCTAGAGACAATAGCTCACGCACCAGGGTCCAAAACCCTTTATTGTTTCTGATATTCTTTTTCTTCATAAAATCATATATACATAATACTTTTATTAAAGACATGGTTTTTTTCAACCCAGCTTTACAGAGGCGAAATTAATTTAAGTAAAAAATAAACACCTTCCAAATTCTGAGTAAGGGTTTTCATAATATGAAACCATCATGGTTAATTAGATTTTACCAAAGAGGTCATAACTATTTTATCTAAAAAAGAGGAGAGGAAAGGACATTCAATCAATTTGCATATGTCACTATTGAGAGTACCTCTTCGTTACCGTGATCCTTCATCTTTCTCTGATTTAACAAAAATAAATAACTAGTCCATCTACTGTAATTGTGAGCCCAGAGAGATACAAAGATTTAACTAAATTGATTAGGTACCTTTAAAACCATAAGGTTTGTTTTGTACTCTCTTGCCAAAATTGACTGGTGTCTCTGTTTACCATGAGTTCATGCATCATGCCTCATTTCCAGTTGATCCAGAATCTCTCATGGATGTTTTTCTAGTCTCTTTCATACTTGTCCTTCCTCTAAAACAAGTGATTGAGATATTCCCAGATGGGTGAGGGGATTATAAATATGCTTTAAAAAGAACACACCTAGGACTGCCTACCTCCTTACTCTCCCTCCCCTGAAAGTGCCTGGTGGCCATTCCTCCTGAAATAAAGAGAAATTTAAGATATTCTGGTGACATAAAGACAAAAAATGAATGCTTATTTTCTTCAATGTACAGGCACTATGCTAGGGACTTTTTATTCATGACTAGAGGCCTGGTGCACAAAATTTGTGCACTGTAGGGGGTCCTTTAGCTCAGCCTGTGCCCTCTTGTAGTCTGGGAGCCCTCAGGGGATGTGACTGACAGCTTAGGAGAGGAGCTAAGCTGTCAGTTGGACATCCTTAGCACCTGCCTTGGAGGTGGGAGAGGCTCCCACCACTGCCATTGTGCTTACTAGCCATGAGCCTGG